CAGTGTGGTGACTGTGTTTGTGTTAGTTATTTATTTATTTTTAGATGATTTTTTATTCCTCAATTACAGTTGACATACAATATTATTAGTTTTAGGTGTATAACATGGTGATTAGATATTTATATATCTTACTAACTTATCTCTTAAATAAAACTAGTACCCAGCTGGCACCATATATAGTTATTACAATATTATGAACTATATTCCCTATGCTGTACACTCCCGTGAATATTTTGTAAACCAATTTGTACTTCTTAATCCGTCCCTCCTTTTCACCCACTCCCCTAAGCCCCGCCATATCTGACAACCTTGAAAATGTTCTCTGTGTCTATGAGTTTGTTTCTGTTTTGTTCGTTCATTTTGTTTTTTACCATATGATTTCACTCCTGTGTGGAATCTAATGAACAGACTGAACTAACAAGCAAAATAGAGACAGACTCAAACATAGAGAGCAAGCTAACAGCTCTTGAGGGAGGGGGTAATGAGGGTGTGGGGAGGACTTAAGCAAAAAATGAAAACAAAAAAACAAAACTCACATTCAGAGACAACAGTGTGGTGATTGCCGACGGTGTAGGGAAGGTAGAGGAGGGTATGGGGGATAAGTGGTGATGGAAGGAGACTTACTTGGAGTGGCAAACACCTAATACATTGTACCAGTGGTGTGTTGTGGAATTGTGTACCTGAAACCTGTATCATTTTGTTAACCAGTGTTATCCCAATAAATTCAATAAAAAGGAAAAAAATGTGAAATCATATGGCATTTTTCTTTCTCTGACTTAACTTCACTCAGCACAGTACCCTCTAGGTCCATCCATTTTGTTGCAGATGGCAAGATTTCATTCTTTTTTATGGCTGAGTCATATTCCATTGTGTATATGTATATATATATTATATATATATATATATATAATATATATGTGTTACTACTACTTTATCCATTCATCTATTGATGGACACTGAAGTTGCTTACATATCTTGACTATTATAAATAACATTGCAATGAACATACATGTTTCGATTTTCTTTGGATAAATACTCAGGACTGGAATTGCTGGGTCTTTCTTTGTCTTTTGGTATACTGTTTGTTTTAAAATCTGTTTTGTAGTATTGCTACCCCATCTTCTTTAAATATTCATTTCCATTGTCATGAAATATCTTTTTCCATCCCATTACTTCCACCTTGTGTGTGTCTTTCAATCTGAAGTGTCTCTTGTAGGCAGCATATGTACGGGTCTTGTTTTCTTATGCATTCAGCTACCCTATGTGTTTTGATTGGGGCATTTAATCCATTTACATTTAAAGTCATTGTTGATAGATATGTATTTATTGCCATTTTATTAGTCATATTTTTAATCTTTTTTCTCTTCCTTAAAGAAGTCCCTCTGATACTTCTTGTAGTACTGGTTTAGTGGTGATGAACTCCTTCAGCTTTTTCTTGCTTGGGAAGATCCTTATCTCATCTGATTACCGAGTAGTGTAATCTTGGTTGCAGGTCCTTGCTTTTCATCACTTTTAATATTTCGTGCCTGTCCCTTCTAGCCTGCAGAGTTTCTGTTGAGAAATCAGCTTGCATCTTATGGGAGCTCCCTTGTAGGTAACTAACTGCTTTTCTCTTGTTACTTTTGAGATTCTTTGTATTTAATCTGTGGCATTTTAATTATGATGTGTCTTGGCACAAGCCTCTTTGGGTTCATTGTGTTTGGGACTCTGTGCTCGCTGGGCTCTTACATCTATTTCTTTTGCTAGGTTAGGGAAGTTTCCTGTCATTATTTCTTCAAACGGGTTTTCAGTTCCTTGCTCTCTCTTCTTTTTCTGCTGCCCCTATGATGCCAATGTTAGTACACTTGATGTTGTCCCAGAGGCCCCTTAAACTATCCTTATTACTTTTTTTGTCATTCTGATGGGGTGTTTTCTGCTACCTTATCTTATAAATTGCTGATTCAGTCTTTGGCTTCCTCTAATCTACTAATGATTTCCTCTAATGCATTCTTCATATCAGTTATTGTAGTCTTCATTTCTAACTGGTTCTTTTTTTGTTTTGTATCTGCATGTTTGTATATTCTTTTTGTTGAAGCTCTCAGATCATTGAGCATCCTTATAACCACTGTTTTGAAATCTGCATCTGGTAGATTGTTTGTCTCCATGTTGTTTAGTTGTTTTTCTGGAGTTTTTTTCTGTATTTCATTAGGGACATGTTTCTTTGTTACATAGAACACATAGAAACAAAGGTAGAGGTAGAGCTCCTACATCTCTTGGCCTTTACAGTGTGGCCTAATGTAGTAGGTATCCTGTGGGATCCAGTGGTACAATCTCCCTGGTCACCTGAGCTTGGTGCTCCAGGTGTGTCCCTTGTGTGTGCCTTCCTCTTGTAGTTGAGACTTGATTGCTGTTGGCCCATCAGTGGGAGGGCTTGACCCTCAGGCTCAGGTTATAAGGAGTGGCCTTGGCTACCATGGAAGAACTGTTGCGTAGGGGCTGATCCTGCAGAGCCGGATTTGCTTTTGCTTTAACAGACTGGTGCCTGCCAAGTTTGCCCTTTTTAGTGTGTCCTTTGTGGAGGTAGTTTGGTGGCACTGTGCTGTTGTCTGAAGTTGGCTACTGTGTATATTGGTTTGGGGGTCCCTTGGGAGGTGTAAGCCAAGGTCAGCTGTTGCATGTGTCCTGCCTGGGGCTAGGTGGTAGGAGCTACAAAAGATTTGCAAATGGTTCTGTTTGTTCTGGGCTTGGGGGTGCCTGTGAAAGACCAAACTGTGAACTAAGGCTGGCTGTCACTAGTGTCAGGCTTGGGGCTGCCTAACATGAGGTTTGGAGCACACAGAGGCCAGGTGCTGCTTGTTTGGGGTTTGTGAACATTTCCTCCTTTTTAGGAAAGTCTGCGGCATGAGTTGTTTGCATGGAAAAGCTACTGGAAGTGACTTGGGTAGGGAACAGAGTTAGCTAGGTTAATGGAAACTCAAAGATGGCTCCTACCTGCACCTGCAGGGGGAGGGTTTAGCAAAGGAACAGTGGCTTCTGCCAGCACCTCTATCTGGGAGGAAGCTGCCCCTCCAGTCCTTATCCTGTAGCCAGACAAGTGAGTTTCTCCCCTAAGTCCCTGGCAAGCTGCTTGCCCAGCACTGGAGGTTAGAATGAGTAAATCTAAGTAAGTCTGTGAATAGGTTCTGTAAGAGGAACTGCTTGGGACTCCAGAAGCCCACAGGTCTCCCTCAACCACAGTCACCAGTGGTCTTCACAGCCAGAAGTTATGAAGACTTGTCTTTCAGGCACTGGAACCATGGACTCAGGGGCCTGGTGTGCAGCTGGGAACCTTTACTCCTCAAGGGAGGCCTTTGCAACTGATGTTTCTCTTCAAGTTTAACTGCCACACATGGTGTAGGACCTGCTGGTTCCATATCTCTGCCCCTCCAGCCATTCTGGCTTCTTCTGTATATCCTTAGTTATTGGACTTCAGCTAGTCTTTGAGTCATTCTCAATGAAGATTGAGCTGTAGTTCAGTTGTAATTTTGATGTAGTTGGGGGAGGAGGCAAGTCTTGCATTTATTTACCTGCTCCTCTACCTTGACAGGAATCGGATACTTTCTTAAACCATAAAGGCAACTTTTATTATTAATGTTCTTTATAAAAATGAATAGAATTTCATTTTAGTTCCTATATTAGTTTCTTAGGTAACATCCTTGTGTGTGGGGTGGGGAGTGTTTTAAAGAAGTTGTTCTATAGATTGCAGTTCATACCTTTTCATAGTATGCTTTGGGTTCATACTGTATAATTTCTTGTAAAACAAGGAAAACTTGCTCAAATACAGTTTTATTTACCTGATACTTATTCTTTATGCTGTAATTTTCATGTTACATGTTGTATACAACCTATATACAGTGTTACAAGTTTTCCTTTAGTCACATGTATTTTTAAAATAGTGAGAGGAAAATGTGATCTTTTACATTTACCATTTTGAGTGCTCCTTATTTTTTCTTGACTGTTTCCAGATAAAATGTGTCTAAACTCAATGTTCAAACTTTATCTTCCTTATAGTGTGTAGCATCAGCAATAATCTCTGTTCCATTCTTTTAGCACTAGCTGGGCTGCTTGGAATCTTCCCCAAATGTACATATTTCAGAGGTTTGGGCAGAGTCAATATGCAAAAGATGAGACGACTCCCATTCTATACTTTCTAGGATTTTCCCCCCTTTACTTTCTAGATTTATGTTGCTCAATAGGACTTTTTGTGGTGATGAAAATGTTCTATAATATACCCTGTTCACAATGGTAGCCATTTGCCACATGAAACTGTTGAAGACTTGAAATGTGGCTATTGCACCTGGGAAATGGAATTTTTAATTTTAATTAGTCTCCATTTAATATAAATATTCACATTTGTTTAGTGGATGCTGTGTTAGATAGACTGTCATTGCAAAAAGTTCTATTGGACAGCACTGTTCTAGATGCTGTGGTTATCTTGAACTCTGTCTTTATTTTTCTCAGTTAATAAGGCTATAGGTTTCTACCCAGGTCTGAGCTGATCTGCATAGTCAGACTGGAGGCTTACCTCAGCTCAGATATAGAATGTAGGAAGCTCAAAGCAGTGCTTTCTGTTTTTCCTCATGTGAACTCCCTTCTAATGAATGCCTGATTTTGATTGCTCTCAGGGCCTTCAAGTAGTTGTTCTGTATATATTTTTACTCGAGTGTATAATTATATCTGTGTCCAGTAAGAATTGCTCCATCATTTACTAGAAGTTGAAATTTACCTTTTAAAAATCATTTTAGTAGTGATTTAACTTTAAGGAATTTTTTTTGTGCTTCATCATCAGAATTTGCTTACCAGCCACTTATTATCCCATCCCCTTTAACCTTACTAAAAGTATCATGAGCCTTTAAGTTTACTGAATCTTAATATTTTAAATTTGATATTTCCATCTCAGATATGCTAGAATTTAATGGAATTCTTCAAAGCAGTATACTCATATCATTGATAACCTGTTTGGTATACCCTGCTTTTTCTAGGTACCTGAAAAGGTTTAAGGTGATGAAGATCAAAGTTCTAAGAAGCTGGTGCCGGCAGATCCTTAAAGGACTTCAATTTCTTCATACTCGAACTCCACCTATTATTCACCGAGATCTTAAGTGTGACAACATCTTTATCACTGGCCCTACAGGCTCCGTCAAGATTGGAGACTTAGGTCTGGCAACCCTGAAGCGGGCTTCTTTTGCCAAGAGCGTGATAGGTATGTTTCAGGTGTCCCTTGCAGACTAACTGGCTTTCTGACATTCCTTTTATTTAGAAGCTGGACCCTGTCAGAGCTTTCATTACATAAAATAAACCTTCAAAAATTTCTAATTTGAATTTAGGAAGAGATCAGTTCTACTTATGAGATATGTAGTTCTCTATGCTAATGCAGCTAGAATCATCTTGAAGACTCAGTATTTTTGTAAATTATATAAAGTGAACTCTTTTAACAAAACCTTATGTAACTATCAATCTCATTAGCTCATTCTATTGATACTTAGTATTACATAATTATATAATAGATACAGTGTGTTATTTTCCACATAAAAGAAACAATTTATATGTATTTTAGTTTCTAAAATAGTCTGTTGGAGATATATATATATATCTGTCTATTAAGACTTTCTTTTAAAATGTGAAAATACGAGTTCATTTGAAAGTTTAGTTTTATCAACTTTTTCCTTACTACTACTCTTCAGAAGATACATCTAAAACAGAATTTTTCAGCTTAAGTACTATTGACATTTTGGGTTAGATGGTTTTTTGTTGTAAGGGCTGTCTTGTACATTGTAAAATTATTTAGCAGCACCTCTGGCCTTTAGTTACAAGATGCCAGTAGCATACCCTCTATCTTCCCGCTAGTCATTACAACCAAAAATGTCTCTGGAAATTGTTAAGTATTAACTTTACAGCTACCATACAGTAGGGGGCAGACAAGTATTTTGATCTTTTTTAACCCATCATCCTGTCTTATAGATAGATACCATTATATCCACTTTATTCCTTGCTAGTTTCTTACCTTTTCCTTTCATTTATTTTCAGTATGAGTTATATCAGCCTATCTGTTATCCAAGGCTCTATTTTGACTTTGTACAACAGTAGTCCATTTTGAAATAGTAAATAAAGACACTTGGCTTTGTTCTAGTTTCTTTTATAAAGGCCTTGCGGTGGAAGACCTCTAAAATAATTGATGAAAAAGAATGAGATTTTCTTCTCTTCCTAATACCCCTCCCTTCTTTCCCCCTTCCACTTTATTCTCTCTCACAGATCAACTTCTCTGCTTCTTCCCCAGGTGAGTAACATCTGCAGCTTTTGCTTGCATTGAGTCTGAATCATTCTTTTAATTTAAGGTACCCCAGAGTTCATGGCCCCTGAGATGTATGAAGAGAAATATGATGAATCCGTTGATGTTTATGCTTTTGGGATGTGCATGCTTGAGATGGCCACATCTGAATACCCTTACTCAGAGTGCCAGAATGCTGCACAGATCTACCGTCGCGTGACCAGTGTAAGTCTTCTGCTCATTGACTAGTGAGCTTAGGTCACTGTAAGAAGGTATCCCAAGCCGGAGAACATCACACTGTGCAGAAGGGAGCAGTAGCGGAAGGTTTATTGAGGTGTTGGGTGGAAAGGAAGTTGAGTTATTATTGCTGATGATATAGTGAAAGCAAACATAAAGATTAAAGATGCACCAGTTTATCCTGGGCCCTCCTTGCATTCATTTAAATGTTCATTAGGAGGTATATAAGTTCTCATTTTCCCCCACCATATAAAGCTTATTATCTGAGTTCAAAGTAGTGCCTTTAGCTCTGTCTCATGTGGCTCAATTGGTTGGAGCATTGTCCTGTAAACTGAAAGGTTGAGGGTTCAACATAACCTGGGTTGTAGGTTTGGTCCCCTGTCTGGGCGCATGCCAAGAGGCAAACTGATTGACATTTCTTTCCCTCCCTTCCCCTCTAAGCAAGTCATCAGGTGAGGATTTAAAAAAAAAAATTTGTTTACGGACTTTTTTGATGAATGGTTTAAAATTGATTTACTAAATTATTAAATCATTTGTAAGTACCCACAGTGTTTAAGTTATAAATTAAAACCTTTTTGTAGTTTAAATTACACGTGGTAATTCATCTCTGCCAAAAGAGCTATTTTCTAGAGTTGTCCAATTGAAACCTGAAGCATAGTTGTTAGGTCCATGAAAAAAGCACTGAAAAAGTTTACTGTAAGAAGATGGAGGCTTTCCATAAAAGACATAAAAGTTAAGCCAAGTAATTTTATTAAATATTTTTGTAACTTTTTCTTTTATGAAAAATTTATACATATATAAAAGTAGAGAGACTTTTATAGTGAATTCCCATTTATTCCATGCAACATGACTATTAGGGCCATTTTACTACACTTGCTTCATCTGTCCTCTTTCTCTGTTTCTTTGTTTTTTAAAGATTTTATTTATTTATTTTTAGAGAGAGGGGAAGGGAAGGAGAAAGAAAGGGAAACATCAGTGTGTGGTTGCCTCTCATGTACCCCCCCACTGGGGACCTGACCCACAACCCAGGCATGTGCCCTGACTGGCGACCGTTTGGTTCGCAGGCCGGCATACAATCCACTGAACCTCACCAGCCAGGGCTCTCTGTTTCATTGTACCACTATGTAATTCATTATGCTTCTGTAAAAATTAAAGATTTTTTTCTTATATAACCATACCATACCTGAAAAAATTAACAGTAATTTCTGGATTGTTTAATATCTTAACCTATTCATATATTTCCCCTATTGTTTCATAGATGTCTGTTTACAGTCAGTGTTCAAAGTAGGGTTCCATTGAGGTCCACAGAAGACATTTTGTTATTCCCTCCCTTTTTCTAGAACTATTGCTCCCACTTTCTTCTCTGTGTTCTATTGATTTGTTAAAGGTATTAGATGTATTGTTTTAAGGAATGTTACACATTCTGGATTTATTTATTTGTTTCTTTATGATGTCATTTAATTTGTTATTCTGTCTTCTACATTTTTGTAAATGTAAATTTACTTTAAAGTAGTGGAGGGGTATCAGTGATGTAAAAATAATTTGCCTTTTTCACACATTCATACCAAAGTGTACAGTGTAGTTTTCCAGAGGCCAAATGATGTATGATATTCCCACAGATTAAATACAGAAGCAGATATGACCATCCATTTGTCTTCTTTTAAGTCATATGTTAAAAAGATAACGAAAATGTAAAACAATACTATTCTCTTCACTAGTTTTTTATTTTAATTTTTTTAATATTGGTTTTTTTATTTTAAAGGTTATTATTGACATTTAATGAGGTTTATTATAATTTTTAATGAATTAATATTTAAAAGCTTTCCCAGCTTTAATTTCTGACATGGTGAATGGCAATAATATAATACATAAACAAAAATCTTTGGGGGTCCTCAATAATTTTTAAGAGCATAGTGGGGGTACTAAGAGAAAAAGTTTGAGACCACTAATTACAAATGCTAGATAAAATTTAGGTTAAATTTTTTTGCAAGAAAAATTAATATGTGGTTCTGTGTATTTCATAGTATCAAGAGACACACAGTATCTAGTTAACTCATTTTTAGTGATGCAATTTCATTGAATTTGTATATATTAGATGTGATTATAAATGTTTATGTAGATTCAGATGGTTGATAAGAATGGTAATTTAGCATATTTCTAAAAAACTTATGGGAAACATTTGCTTTAGGTAGATCACATTAGTTTTATATCTTCACAAAGTTTTGGGAGAAATCTTTGATTACCTCATTAATTATAATTGCTGTGAATATTCCTATAATGTACAAACATTTAATGTTCTCTTTAGCTATTCCTCGTCATCTAAACACTTTATTTAGCCAGTCCTCTTTATTATCTTGCATATATTCCACATCTTTTCCTTTATTCCTACCCATTTGTACATGCTGTTTATCTTCTCTACATGCTCTTCTGCTATCCAGTACACCCTTATACTTACATGACTTCCTCCACAAAATTTTATCTGATTGGCTTACTCCATGATGATCCTTGCATTCTCTGAAAAGCTGACCTTTTCACTTGATCTAAATCATTGAATTTTATTTGTAAATGATTGTTTTACTTATGAGTTCAAAAACCGAATTATTGTAAAGCATTTAGCGTAGTGCTTAGAACGGTATAATTGCCCACTGTTCATTCCATTTAACATTTATGGAAATAAATACCCGTTGTAAATACATATCTTCTAAGAAGATAAGATCTGAGCAACAAACTTAAATACGTAACTTTAAATTTTAGGACTGTAAAATATACAGTTTGTATGTGGAACACTTTATGCATTTTATTTACTAACTTACAGTCTATTACTTTTCTTCATTACATCTTACTCTAAACCTGGGATTACCAACTATGATCCATCGGCCAAATCCAGCCCACTGCCCATTTTTGTACACCCCATGAACTAAGAATGATTTTTACACTTTTCAATGGTGAAAATCAAAAGGAGAATAATATGTCATGATGTGTGAAAATTATATCAAATTCATATTTCAGTGTCATAAATAAATTAACAAAACCCAGCCACTCTGATTTGTTTCTGTATTATCTATTTTTACACATTACAATGGCATAGTTGATTAATTGTAACAGACTATATGGATTAAAAAGCCTAAAATATGGACTGTCTGGCTCTTAACAGAAAAAGCTGCTCTCTCCTATTCTTATCACATGTCACCAGAACTTCTTAACAATTTTTTTTCTTTTGAAGAGTTCTGTAAGTAGCCCTGACTGGCGTGGCTCAGTTGATTGAGCATCATCCCACAAAGTGAAAGATTGCCAGTTGGATTCCTGGTCAGGGCACATGCCTGAGTTGCAGGTTCAGTCTCTGGTCAGGATGTGTTCCAGGGCAACCGGTTGATGTTTCTTTCCCTTTCTCCCTCCCTTCCCCTATCTCTGAAAAATAAATAAAAAACCATTTTGGTAACCATTTTCACTGGCTATACTTAGTATTGGCCTTAAGAATAAATAACATTTTAAATAAACTCAGTATCACTGTTTAAAGTAATCATTCTGGATTTTAAACACAAGGGTTTATGAACCGTATCCTTTATTTGCCTTCTAACAATGCTGAATGTTTTGATACCGAACAGAGTAGGAGAAAAGTATATATAAGATCGCGCTATTTTAAAGCATTTTCTGCTATCTCTCTCAGCCACCAGCCTTCTTTGTTGCTCTTGCAGTATTTCCAATTCGAAACTGGTGTAGATTTCATTATGTAGCAGACAATGGCTCTGTTGTTTTGTGGGCTGCTGTTAGAGACACTAACTAGGCATTGATTGGGCTGTCTCTATTATATAGTGACAAGTGTCTTTGATTAATCTTGTGAATTCACTTCTTGATCATTTCTCTAAACAAAAGTTGGTACTTAAAATGTTTCAGGGTATCATGGAATGGTAGGTTTCCATATGTAAAATGAAGTATAAAAATAACTGCTATTTAAAGAAGTCAAGTTAAATCATGTGGTAGAACCAATTATCTAAAAATCTATCCCTGTTCTAAACCTAACCTGGGCAAATATGATTAACGGGTTAAAAATCATGACTGCAGGATGAGTAGGTGAAAAATCTGACTAAACTCTATTGATTAAATGTTGCTTACTAGAGGCTCAGGGCTAAAAGCAATATGTTTTAGACTGTCAGGCACAGCACTGCTGTGATAATAGATAAAAATTTATATGAGCAGTTATGTGATAAAAGTAAAGAAAACAAGTTGATTTTTAAGAGAAAGCAGTTGAGACACTGTCTGATAAACAAATGTATCTTTGTTTACAAAAATGAACTCTAGCTCAGTCGACAAGAAAATCCCTTTTTGGCCTGGCTGGCGTAGCTCAGTGGATTGAGCGCGGGCTGCGAACCAAAGTGTCGCAGGTTCGATTCCCAGTCAGGGCACATGCCTGGGTTGCAGGCCATAGCCCCCAGCAACCGCACATGGATGTTTCTCTCTCTCTCTCTCTCTCTCTCTCTCTCTCTCTCTCTCTCTCTCTCTCTCTCTCTCTCTCTCCCTCCCTTCCCTCTCTCAAAAATAAATAAATAAATAAATAATCTTTTTTTAAAAAAAAGAAAGAAAACCCCTTTTCAAATGAAAGAAATCCTTGGTGTTAGTTTAATAAAACCTAGAAAGACCGGTATCACTTTCTCTATTCGTAGTAGGGTATTTACCCTGTTGTCAGTTTTTCAATGTTTTTTTTTGTTTGTTTGTTTGTTTGTTTGTTTAGATAAAATTCACATCATAAAAGTCATCACTCAAATCATTTAAAGGTGTTCACTTCAGTGGTTTTTAGTAATCTACAATAGTGTATCCGCAGTCATTACTGCTAATGCCAGAACCTTTCATCACCCCCCAAAAAGAAGCCCTATGCCTATTAGCAGTCATTCCCCAACCCCCCTTCCACCCAGCCCCTGGCTACTGATAATGTACTTTTGTCTCCATGGATTTCATTGGACTATTGTGGACATTTTATACAAATAGAATTA